TTGAGCCAGGGTCTCCTGTAATCTAAGCTCATCCAGAATTTGCAATTTCAGCTCTTTAGTAAACCAATCAGGTGTCTTAGGCAGGCAAGGGAAAACAGTGACACACCTTTACATAGTTACTCAAATATCCCACAACTGTCAGAACACAAGCATTAATACACATCCATTTCAAAGTAATATGACTATCATTATTTTTCATATTTGAGATAGTGTATTGTCCAACAATGAATTCTGAAATTATGTTGTGTGACATTAGGTATTTAACATTTTTTGGAAATTCAAATTTGCCAGTTGTCCAGAATATATATTGTGGTGGTTTGACTAAGAATGGCCCCCATAGGCTCATATATTTGAATGCTTAGTCATGGGAGGTGGCACTACTTGAGAAGGATCAGGAGGTGTGGCCTTGTTGAAGGAAGTGTCACTAGGGTGGGCCATGCTAGGCCCAGTGTCTCTCTGTCTCTTTGCCTGTGGATCAGGATGCAGCTAGTGCTGCAGCTCCATGCATGCAGCCAGGCTTCCTGCTATGATGACAATGGACTGATCCTCTGAAACTGTAAGCCAACCTCAATTAAATGCTTGCTTTTTAGCCCATTGTGTTTCTTCACAGCAATATAACAGCGGCTATGCCATATATCTTCTGCATCATGTTTAAGTATTCTTGCATTTCTAAAATGTAAAAAAGCAATTCTGCAACTCTTTTCTCTTTCTTTCCTTCTTTTTAGACAAAATCTCTATATGTAGTCCTGCCTATTCTGGAGCTCACCATGCACACTAGGCTGGCCTCTGTCTCTTGAATGCTGGGATTAAAGGCTGGTCACCATGCCCGGTACTCTATAACACTTCCAGCAGACCATTCCCATACTTTGGATACCCTGCTTAATGTAGAGACGTTAGGCTGCGGACCCTCTAGCTGCTCTCTCCTCTAATTCAGGCCACACTTGCCATAGCCTATCTCCCAGCACAGCTACAGAGAGTGGCTGTGACCTTGCACCTCTGATGGGACAATTTCCCTCCCCCAGACACCTGCAAACTAAGCAGAAAAGCAAGGCCTCTGTGGATTCTTTCCTGTGGATTATTTCCCCAATAAGACCCAGGCTCAAAGTGGCCTTGAATTAAAGCCCTACTTATCAGGTGCCTTGCTTATTGTCATAACTTATGGCATGCGTGTTAGGTCACATGGCACAAAATATTCTCTCCCCAACCTAAAACCAACAGGAGGAAGACCATCTCACAGATGCAAGCTTTGCTGTGCCTTTGGCACTGTGGTGCCTTGTCTTGGATAGGTCTCAACAAACCGTCATCTCTAAGATTTCAAGAACGTGCTGAGCAGATGGATTCCCCCTTTGGAAAGCACCAAGAGGTGGAAACGTGAGTCCTCCTCTTGTCCATGCGTCCTGCTGTTTCTTTCACTTCAGAAGCTCCTCAGCTTTGATGCTTTGAAGCACATACTCAGTCGTAGCCATGTGACTTTTTAGTAGACAAGGATGAGAACTCTAGAATCCTAATTTTAAAGTGAGTTTAGGAGTTCTAACGCTGCAATAAAGTAATATAACCTACAATGCCAGTAGGAATTACATATAGACAAAAGCCTGGTATGCTATCTGGTAAAGTTATGTCGTTAAAAAATTCATTCACGCCGGGCGATGGTGGCGCACGCCTTTAATCTCAGCACTCGGGAGGCAGAGGCAGGCGGATCTCTGTGAGTTCGAGACCAGCCTGGTCTACAGAGCTAGTTCCAGGACAGGCTCCAAAGCCACAGAGAAACCCTGCCTCGAAAAACCAAAAAAAAAAAAAATTCATTCACGCAGAAGTGAATACAAGAACTCAAATGTTCCCAGCGGTTAGTTTTCAGCGACTCTGCATGTAGTCCAAATGCTTCTTAGGTGGTTCAGATCAGACACAGGTCACGCCATGTAATAAGGTGGCAACAATGGCTTAGCTTTATCTTTTATTCACTCATTTAGTTCAGGTTTGAGACAAGGTTCTGGCTGGCTTGGAACTTGCCATGTAGACCTAGCTGGCCTCATATTCCCAGAAATCCACCTGCCTCTGCTTTCCGAGTACTGGGGTTAAAGGCATATGCCACCACACTCAGTTAAGAAATTAGTTTTAAAAAGATGGAATTTTTGTTTACAAATAATCTCTTAAGTCTTGCTTTAGTAACTCACACGACTGCAGACCTGCCTATGCTTAGATATGCTCCTTCTGGGCATGCGACTCTCTTAAGGAAGGACAGGTTTACTAATTCCTTTTAATTGCGTTTTCCTTTCCTAGCTGGGACAGTCAGTAGAGGAGACTCATGGGAGCATGTAGGCCAGAGGATTTCATACAGTTGACATAAAACCACAGCTCCCATTCTAAAGCGAACAGGAGACAGTTTCTTCTGGAGCCATTCTGCTATCTGATGACATTCTTAGCTCTGGGATTGGCAGAAGGCTGTGCTCTGCTAACTTAATAGCATCTAAGAGGTTTTTATTTATTATTGTAAGGTACTAGTTCTTAGTTAATAGCTTCTAAGAGGTTTTTATCTATTATTACAGAATATTAGTGCCAAATTAATAGCTTCTAAGAGATTTTTATTCATTATCATGAGGTGTTCATTCAGATACAGAGTGGGGTGAGGAAGCCTCAAACTAGGCCATGATAAAGCAACTAGCCTCTGACCCTGCAAAATTCTAATCTCTTCATAATAGTAAAATTCTAAGTGGTCCACCAGTCTCTGCAGACATAAATACAACTAGACATAGCTTCTTTTTACGAATTTTCACCACGATACTCTTTGTTTAAATAAAAGAAACTTTGGAGAAAAATGTGCAGTGCAAGCCGAGTTACTAGGCCCGACACAGGGATCTCTGCCGTCTGGATGCTACTTCATCTGGCTTCTAGCATTACAGTTCAGGAAACAGCCTGCCTAGAGAACAAAGGGATTCCAGGGAAATAACAAAGGCTGCAATAGTTATGACTGGTAAAAAAGTTCCCTTGAGCCCTGACCTCAAGATTGGCGTCTCCATTATGAAACCCCTATGAGTCCAAAATATATAAAGAACTCAAGAAACTAGACCGTAAAAGGCTAATCAACCCAATTATAAAATGGGGCACTGAGCTGAACAGAGATCTCTCAACAGAAGAAGTTCAAATGGCCAAAAGACACCTAAGGTCATGCTCAACTTCCTTAGCGATCAGGGAAATGCAAATCAAGACAACTTTAAGATACCATCTTACACCTGTCAGAATGGCTAAAAT